ACTAAGAGAAAGTAAGTTTTGATGTTCTCTGTTTCAGATAAAGCTTTTCAAAGTATTTTAAAGTGTCCTTGGAGATACTGGCACTTCCTCTTTTATACTTTCTACCCACTTGCTCTGCTTTAAAATACCTACATTTACAAAACCAGTTAAAATATATCTTCAAAGCCAGAGAATGTTGAGTACAAATGCTTTTTGGTTTCTTTTAGCTAGGAATAGTTTATTTATCACTGATAACAAGATAATCTGACTTCACTCTGTGTCTCTAGGAATAGCAGGAATTCCCCGACTAGATCTCAGCCTCTTGCAAGCATGCTAGGATGGCAGGAGTTAACAGCATGACCTACTTCCCAAACTGCTGATTCCTTGGACTCTTCAGCCAATAATAGCTACTATTGTAAGGTTCTTCTCCTTCCCCCTAGTTATGTGACTAGCATTTGAACACTCTGAAATTCATGACCTTTTAAGCTACATATATCAAATGAAAGATAGGCTTTGTGAGCTGTAGATTTCTGGGCACAAGATGAAATAAGTATATTTCTGGTTGTGATGCCAGTTACTTATGCCAGGAAGCCCTCCCACACTGCATGTTTATAGACAAAATGCAATCACTTGTTTCCTGGTTCTTTTCTCAGGTGGTGTGCAGGGGAAATCCTACTGGCAACTAGGTATTTCTATTTTTTTTATTGCAAAATCATGATAGGAAAAGCATGCAGGATAACTGTGGGCAGAAGGTACGTACAGCTGTGGGCAGAAAATACATTTCAGTTTTACTCTGGGGAATTCTAAATATGGATCTGTGGAATAATATTAAGAATATGTACAGTGCACATTGCTTGGGCCAGCCATACACCTAGCCATGGATCTTGGCAATGTGTAGCTGTCCTTTCTCTTGGCTCAAGGCACTATAAGCTCTTTTTCTGGGAGCTATTAGAACCCTGCAGAGCCCTAATTTCTTTTTTTAAATTAAAAGCAAAAAAAAAAAAAAAAAAAAAAGGGAAGGGGGCAGAGGATGCAGTGATAGTGGAAAAGCCTCATGCTTTTCACGCTCAGATTTTTATTCCGCAGATCCATGCTACTGTCCTTTAATAATGTTTGTTAGTAGTTACGCAGGTTTCCATCATGTATGTAGAAGGTTTCATGTATTCAGTTTTCCTGTTTTCAGAACGATCTTGCAGCCTGTCATAATCAATTAAATGGCAATCAGAACTAGCCAGATTCTCTTGTATGCATCACTACAATTACTGGTAAATTTATACCAAGGTTTATTCCATTCTTTCCCAGCATATAAACTATTCCAAATATTTGGCAGTCATGTTCACAGAATAATTAGATTTAGAATGTGAACACAAAACCTTGCAAAATCAGCTGATGGGCTCTCAGTAAGAAAGTAAAGACAGTGCATGATCATTTACTTACTTGAATACAGCAATCAGCAGGTTTACCAGCAGGATGTTTGCTACCAAGAGGTAACAGGCCATAATAGCAGGAGTGAGCCAGGCCCCTGGTATGCATGGAGGCAGACGTTTACCATCCTCATCATAAAGATTGTCACCACAAGGAGCTGAAGAGAAAACAGGAAAGGTACTATTCACAAATTGCCCCACATTTAAGAACACTGTTCACTTTATTTAATGATGACATGCATAAATTTTGCTAAACTAGACAAATTTTGTTAGTTTATTTCCAGTAGCAAGTACATATAATTTCTAGTCCAAATACTGCTTCTAACTAGACAATGCAAAAATAATTTCCCATAATACTGAACAAAGCAGCAGCTCCAAGTTTACTGTACAGTGTGACTTCCTCCTCAAATTCATACAGATTTTCTTTTCCTCATAGTAATAGTCTAAAAGATCTTCATGTGCATGAAATGATGCTAATAATGGAATTTAAAAAAAAAAATCTCAAGCCAAACTTATTTGCATACCTTGCCAAAGATACAGAAGGACTTACACAGTGGCCCCAGATTACTTTTGGTGTTTGACTGAGCATAAAATCAGTGCACTAATAGGCCCATAATGGCCCTAACCATGGTCACCTGGGGTCTCCATCCACACCCTCTGCCCATGCCTGTCCCTGCCTGAGCTCTGCCACAGCAAGGCCAGGCTGAGCCCTGGTTCTGGCCCTGCCTCCTGGATGGACTTAGGCTACAGGCAGCTCGTCTCCTGGCAGGATGCCTCTCCAGTCTGGGGCCCAGTCTCCTTTTGCTCCTGGCTGTACCTGGGACCACAGCTTGCCTTGTCTGGGGACATCAGTGGACCCTGCTCTGCCCACTGTGTTCAGGCCCCGCGGGACTGTGCCCTCGGGGGAGGACACTGCCTGCGCGGAGTTGCCCTCAGCTCCCCTTCCCTGTGGGACCAGCCTTGCTCTTGCTGCTCCCTGCCAGCCTATGGGTCCAGTACTCAGCAAAACTTGCTTGGATATGCAAGTATGGCTAGGTATACAGAAGTGGTTGATGTTTATATTTTTCTTCTGAAAAAAACACATATTTTAATAAACCTATTCTTTTTTTCTTGCTAAAAGTTGAGTTCTTTTCAACATACTTAATTTGTTACTGAATAGAAAACCCCAATTTCTGATCTTCTTTGTACACCAATTTCTGTTCCTCTTAGTTTTCACAATAATTCTACATTTTAGATAAAATATTAAATGAAAAGATAAAACTACATAACGAAAAAAGATACAATTACTGCAAAATAGACTGGTGAGAATGAGACAAAAATTGAAAATATTGATTGAACTGATATCAAATAATTCCCTGAACTAATCCTGAGAACCCACAGGTTGTCTTGGAGTTGAGTAAATGCAACAAGTTTGTTTTGCTTTAAGTGCAGTGCCAAAATAACTGATTTGAAATGCATAGCTAAATTTTGGAACCATTTAGTGTCAGGTAAAAATGTGTATCAACAAGAGTTTCTTCAGTTGAAAACCCCGCCCGGCACTGGAAAGACACTGGTGGCTCGAGCGCTCGCAAAGGAATGTAGGCAGGGAGACAAGAGAGTAGCCTTCTTCATGAGAAAAGGTGCCGACTGCCTCAGCCAATGGGTGGGAGAATCCGAGCGGCAGCTCCGCGCCTTATTTGAGCAGGTAAGGAGGAAATATGCCGGGCCGGAGTTGCAGCTGTACTTGTCCGCGGTGGACATCTTTCAGGAGAACTCGGCCTCCTGGGTAGTTTGGCCGTGTCTCCTGTTGACGTGGGAACATCAGTGTTTCCTTTTCCCGTGCCGTCCGGCTTGGCCCGAGGGGCTGGAAATCTTGCAGATGGGTTGGGGCCAGCACAGGCGCAGTGCCCTTGCAGCCACAAGGATAAGCCTGCACGTTCTTGCCGAGTAGGGCTGTGTTTTACATGCAGTCAGTAGCCCTGCCTCTGTGCTGCCCTTCCAGGCCTATGAGATGCGGCCTTCGATTATTTTCTTTGACGAGATCGACGGTCTCGCTCCTGTGCGCTCCAGTCGCCAAGATCAGATTCACAGGTACCACCTTTTCCTTGCATTGCCATGTAATCGGCTTCATCCCGAGGAAAAAAAGACCCAGCTGGTCCCCTTGAGGTGACGCACACAACTTACTCTGAACTCCTCTAGTACAACGACACAGCGGTTCACAGGGTTTTACAGACAAGAGTTGAAATCGAGTCCCTAAGCTTGGTTTCCGGACAAGGCCTCTCTTGCCCTGCCTCGGTGTTTTGGGCTTACCATAATCAAGAGCTCATCCAGAAAGGCTTATCCTTTTTTGAGAGACGTGACTTTGGAGAAGGTCAAGCAGCATGTAGCAACAGCTACTAAACCAGGCAATCCAACAATATTTTCTTGCCAGTTCAATTGTCACCACGCTGCTGGCACTCATGGATGGCTTAGACAGCAGAGGCGAGGTCGTGGTCATCGGCGCCACCAACAGGCCAGACTCCCTGGATCCTGCTTTGCGAAGGCCTGGCCGCTTTGACAGGGAGTTCCTTTTCACCTTGCCAAACAGAGAGGTAAGGCTCTTTAGGCAGCCTTCCTGCTACGGGGCCAAGGCCTTTCTTTACAAGGAAACCGTGTTGCCGCACAGTATCTCCGAGAGGGAGGAAGCAAAGAGGTGCCCTACGTGCTGGAGACCTCCCTGTTCCCCGAGCAGAACTGGGAGGGAGGCTGCAAACAGGAGTTTCACGGAGCCTGGAGCGCATGGACTTTCTTCCTTGCCCAAGCGGTTGCTCTCGGCTTCGTTCCTTAGCCCACCCAGGCCCTTGCCTCCTGCAGGTGCCTCCTTGCTCTCAGTTCTCCATTTGGGAGAGCCTCGGGGCAAAGCCTGTGCTTGAGTGTGGCCGCCCTGGGAATCCTGGCCGGCCGCCCAGAAGCATTTAGGGAGCTGCCATTGTTACTGGTCTGAGCAGGCAGCTGGATGGAGACACGAAGCACGCTGCCCAGTTGCAACGCTGGGGAAGCTTCTACTTGCAAGGCCTGGGACACTTGCAGGATGTTGCAGTTCTTTGGCAACATCCAAGCAGGGACCACAGAGCTACAGAGCTACCACAAGTAACTGTTTCCTTTAGAAAACAGAAACTCCAAGACAAACTGGAGCCCTAGCTTTGGTGCTTCCTCCTCTCCTCTCCTCTCCTCTCCTCTCCTCTCCTCTCCTCTCCTCTCCTCTCTTCTCCTCTCCTCTCCTCT